GCTAAATGGAGAAACTTTAGGGCGGGAGAAATCCGAGTGCGTCAAGGTGGACCAGAACAGCGGAGAGGGAGGCAGGGAAAGGAGGAGTATGTGCGGACTCCCGCCCGGCACCAGGGGCCAGGGGCCAAGGTCTAGGACGGGCGAGCAACGGCAGCTTCAGAGAAAAGGAAAGCAGCGTCCTTGCCAGTGGCTGGAAGGCCGGGGGCGGATGTGGACAGGGAACCCTGTGAAGGGGAAAGAGAAGGATACGACAGGACAGGTGGGTTCTGTAGGGAGGGTGGCGTGCTGAAAACCAGCTCCCTGACCGGTCCGCAGAGATTTTCACGCACCTGGCTTGACTCGACGCCACTGCTACGGACCGAATGTCTGCAACCCCCTAAATTTCATACGGGGAAATGCCAACTCCAAATGGGACGGCATCAGGAAGTGGGGCCTTTAGGAGGTCATTAGGGCAGGAGGCTAGGACCCTCAGGAATGGAGTGAGGGTCCTGATAAGAAGACGCACAGGGCAGAAGATTTTTCTCTCTCAGCCCTGTGAGGACACGGCAAGACGGCCAGCTGCAAACCAGGAAGAGGTCACACGTGGCAGCTGCCTGCACCTGGATCTTGGACTCCCCAACCTCCAGAACCGTGGCCATTAATATCCGCTTAAGCCCCCCTCCCCCACTGCATGGTCTCGTTATAGCAGCATGAACCAAGACAGCCCCTAATTTGGAGTAGGACACTGGGCCAAAGCATCTCAGCTCTCTGAGCTTTAGTCCTTATTTAAATGACCGCGGGGTGGTGGGGGGGGGGGGGGTAGACGAGATGTCGTTTTCTAAAGGTCTCCTCCTACCCTAACATCCTAGAATTTTTACATGTGTTTTCTTCCCTTCTGATTTCACGCCAGCCTCTAAGTCGCTTCTTTGCAATTATAATTGCAAACCACATCTCTCCGTATTCTGGATGCTTCCTTCACGCTGAATATCACGCCCTGCATGCGGAAGGTGCTCAACAAATGTTTTTCTGAATTAATAAAAGTCCTGTAATGTCACAGTTTCAGGAGCCAAATGTGTGCCTTCCTCCTGTCTCCAAGGACAGTCCCAGAAGTTGTAATCTTCCCTCGGCTAATTCAGCCTTGAAAAAAAAAAAACCACTTACCTAAAGCCCAAGTACAAATAAGACTGAATGTCAAATAAATTAGTGCCCGAATTGTTTCAGATCCTGCCCTTCCTGTGAATGTGTACACACAAATTAAAAAAAAAAAAAAAAAAAAGTCCGATTATGTAAGCCTGGGTGCACTTTCTATCAGTCCCTTGACAAAATACCACAGTGCACATCTATCGTCATGCCTTCGTTATCAAGTGAACAAAAGGTGCAAATTCCCACGGCCCACTCAGAGTCTTTTCCTTTGTACTCCATGACATTCCTACAGCTGACAAAAGCCACTGGGTACCCTGTCTGCTGGAGCACTGAAACCTACTTGAACCGCTGATATGCAGCCTTTCTCTCCTGGAAAGGACATTAGCCTAAAATCTGAATTTCAGTCTTAGTTCCGCACTGTTGAGTCACTGACTTTGTACAATTAACCTTCCTATACCTCCACAAACGAGGCTAAACATTCCGGCTCAATCTACTTCACACTGTTGGGTGCTAGAACTGATACTTTAGGATTCTTACTATTAATTGCGGAGTACTTTCTAAAATTCTTCTTCTTATTATCTCCAAGATGTACAAGTCCTGCAAAGAAATCTACAGTTAAATTGCTCATTCTGCAAAGGAAGGCCGGAGGAAAGCCAAAACACCCCCATAGGAATGTCTGCAGCTTGGATTAAGTTTTCAATCTCGATCTACGCATAAACACAAAAAGAGTAACTGAACTTTCCGACACAAATGAAGGAAAAGCAAAGTACTTGGGAAAATTAACCCCTGACCAAGGTCATCTTCCATCATGGCTTTCTTGAAGTCAAGAAATTCCCTCTATAAAATTTTATGATTGCTAGGAAAATAAGAGGAGTGTTACTAAAAAGATCCATGGTTTTAGTACCAAATTACAGTTCACTGAGAATTTTAAAATAAAATAAACCACCCATTCCAAATCACAGGCATGTTTGGATAGGACACTGAACAAATCCATCACGGGCTGAAGGCTTATTTTACGATAGGATTAGGTCCTTAGCACATTCAGGGTTTACAAGTCCACATTCTCACTTTCTCTCCAAGATAAACACATCAGAGTGGGCAAGCTTCCAGCTGGTGGGGGAGTCACTGAATCAAAGATGATCGTTCATCCACATAACCACTTGCAAGAAATGTCAGCAAACTCACAACTGCATAATGATAAAGCCTGGCACAGGCTAACCAGTGACAAAACTCCCCTTCACAAATGACGAATTAATTCACAGCAGTGGACATAACTCATGGACACAGTTCATTAAAGATTTCACCTTTGCTTCCCTTAACAGTGATCACCGATGTCTTCTAGAAGAAGAAGAAGAAATCAAGTTTTCTGTGGACAGAAGGATGCCAAGGATGTGTCAATGAGCCACAGTGTTTAAATAAGAATCCAAGATAATACTTAAGGTGCTCTAATCAGATATATGAAATGATCAACTACACAATTAAGGTCTCCTAATGACTGATATTCGTTTTTTTTTTTAAACACAATAGCTTTAACTGTGATCTATAACTGTTTCATCTAATATACAGATTATTAACCCTCTCTGGGCCATTTCCTTTAAAACAGAAGGAGAAGGAGAAATAACTCATAATGAGAAGATTGCACACAACAGAGAAATGCCCTGGGGGAAAAAAGAGAGAGAGAGAGAGAGAGAGAGAGAGAGAGAGAGATGAATTTACTGTAAGAACTACATTCTCTCCGTTAATGACTCCATTACCATCTCTGAATCATTAACACAGTCTCAGGTTAAGAGAATAAAATGCAAAGGAGCAAGGGCAGAAGGCAGTGGAGTTGGTGGTAAAGGACTGGAGAATTCCCACGTAAAATTGTAAAATTTAGAGGAACCGGCATGTTTTCCTTTCAAACGTCAAGCGACACCAAAAATATTCCCCTGCTCCACTGTGCCACCTCCTTCAAGGTCATTTATCATCAGCACAACCTACGGATGTTTTATTAAAAGAAAAATCCCAGCCTAGGACTGCCAGATCTCTACACAGGACCCACTTATCAAAGGTGTCGCACCAGCTGAAAGGCAGCTGTTGAGTGGCACGGAGTTAACATTACTTTATATGTGCAGAACCCCATCAGCACGCACATTACCCCGGTCTCTATTAAGTATTCTGATAACACCACGTCCACCAGCGTGGCTTAACATTTAAGCCTGCAGGAAGCCCTTGAATGTGTGAAGCCTTCCAAATTTTTCTAGCTGATTTTAACCCTATGGGGTTTGAAAAAAAAAAACAATTTAAAAATTACACAGGAAATAATGCTTTGTCCACTTGAACAAAAGATG